CAGCATGTCAGTGCTGCAGAGCAAGAGCGCCTGCAGGCAGTGGGGAAAGCATCTTCCAGGTTTTTCCTAGGATTTTGAAAAGGGATAGGAAGAAAGGAGTTGAATTTAAATCTGGGATAACTAAGTATAATCCAAGCTGGCTGCCACGTTTGCTCCAAAAGGACAAACACTGTTGTTCCTTTTTGGAACATTTTAGTGGCTGAAAATTACTATGAACTTTCTAAACAAGACAAATATCATCTGAAAGCAGTCTAGGGCCCATCCAACCTTTTTTTTGTGTGTGTGGTTTTTTTTGTTTGTTTGTTTGTTTCCCTCCTTAAAGAGAATCGTGAGGTACAGGGTGGTTTGCACACGCACAGACCCAGCCCAGGGGCCAGTGCTGGTCCCTACCTCCAGCAGTTGGGCAGCACTGGGCCGGGTCTCTGGGTTCTTGTCCAGCGCTGTCTTCAGGAAGTCTCTGAACTCCAGGGACCTTAAAACACAGTTGTTGGTGAGAAGCTCAGAAGAGGGAAAGGCCTTGAACACCACAGGGGTCTGCCTGATCTCTTTACAGGTTGTGTCCCAGTTTGCAAGTGGCTATAATCACCATTTCACTCCCAGCATGGAAAACCCAGTGCTCAGTTATTCTGATTATTTGTAAGAGAATCAGCAATGTGGCCAAGCAAGGGACTAGATTCTGCCTTACCTGTGATGGCAACTGATGGGGGGACTGAGCACCAGCCACTGTGCCCCATGGCCAAGGCAGAGAGATAGAAAAGGACACTCAATTATCCCCCAAAGGGAGCCCATGGGTGGACCTGCTTGCAGACAACAATGCTCCAGGACCCATCCCCAAAGCTACAGTGGGAAAGGATGGCCGTGAAGGACCAGAAACCCCATAGGAGGGCACCCTCAGCCTGCAAAACACAGCTCTGAGATACAGAACGCGTCCTTGGGCCAAGGCAGAGAGATAGAAAAGGACACTCAATTATCCCCCAAAGGGAGCCCATGGGTGGACCTGCTTGCAGACAACAATGCTCCAGGACCCATCCCCAAAGCTACAGTGGGAAAGGATGGCCGTGAAGGACCAGAAACCCCATAGGAGGGCACCCTCAGCCTGCAAAACACAGCTCTGAGATACAGAACGCGTCCTTGATCCTGCTCTGGCTTCTGAGCTGCTCCAGAGGAAGTGCTCCCACACTGCCTGATGGTTTAATAGAATCATAGATTGGTTTGGTTGGAAGGGAGCTTAAAGATCATCTGGTTCCAACCCTCTTGCAATAAGCAGGGACACTTTTATTGGCAGGGTCCCAGTAATTTGCCGCTGGCTTTCATGCAGTGGGTTTTGTCATGATTACAGAAAATAATAATTAACTGATTGGAATTTTTTAAATGCAGAAGAGGCTTTCCTGACTCCAGGAAAGGAATTCTGAAGCTCTTGGCCATCTCTAGGTTTAGAGGTAAATCTGTCTTTCACACAAAACCAGGATGTTTTGAAAACATCCAAAGGATCATCCTCACTTCAGCAGGGCTGTGGATCTCCTCACTGAGATCTCCCTTGCTCTGGGGGAAGGTGATTTTCACTCTCCCTGGAGCATCTGTGTCCACACACCAGCAGCAGTGCTGAGCAGCCTGCCTTCAGCCAGCAGTGCTCTCGGGGTCCCGAGCACACAGCTGGACCTCAAACACAACCAGAATCCTACATCAGGTTCCCAAATTAAACAATACTGCTATAAAAGACTATTTTTTTCTCCCTTGAAATACTGTGTAAGTTGGGAGATGTGTACTCCAAGCTTTGCTGCCCAAAACCCCTCACCATTTGGAAGGGCAGCTGAGCGTGGGGGGATCGGACTTGGCAATCTTCAGCAAGACTCTCATGGGGTTGAGCTCATGATGGGGAGGCTCGATCTGGGCCATTTCAATCAGCGTGATTCCCAGGGACCAGATGTCTGCCTTGTAGTCATACGGAGTGTCCTTCATGGTCTCGCACATCACCACCTCTGGGGCCATCCTGCAAAGGGCAGAGCAAGGAGCAGGGATGGTGAGGAATGACATCACTGCCATGCACGTGAGCCTTGCAGCAGCAATTAAATGCTTTAAATAATCCACAGCATTGCACAAAAAATGGTCCTTCCTCCCAGCTTTGGGTTTCAGAAGAAGCAGCATCTTTTCTAAAGGGTACAACTCCCTCTCTTCCACAGAGCAGCCGAGACAGCCCAGGCAGCCCATGGAAACCCCCAGGCCATTGACATCTGGCGCAGATGTTGCTTCAGACAATAAATTAATCCTCGTCAATTCCATTCCTTCAGCAAGTCTGGTGATTTAGAGATTGCATTTCTGGAGCGAGGAGTCATTCCCATGTGCTTGGAGCTGCTTCAAAGCCCACTCCACCCCCCGGGGTGGGGGGAGCGGCGAGCACACACACGCGAGCACACGTGTGTCCCTCACTCCTCCAAGCCTGAAGCATGGTGGCCCCTCGGCTGGCTCAGGGCACCGTGACACCGGACAATGCTCCCAGACCACCAATGCTGCTCACAGCTCCCTTCAGGCAAAGGAAACATTGCCCATGTGGACACTGGACCAGACTCCTTGTTAAACTCCTCCGACCCACACTATGGTCCAACACATCCCAGAGGCCATCAGCTCCCCATTTCTGAGCAAGCCTGATTTTCAGAAGAGTGAAGCTCCTCACGAACACAGGATTTCTTAGGCAAGCAGGTCACTCACCAGTAAGGGGTTCCAATGAAGGAGTCTCGCTTCTGCAAGGTTTTCACATTTTTGGCAGACACTCCAAAGTCAGCTGCAAAGAGCAGTAATATTAGATGCCATAGGAAAGCTGAGAGACCCTTCTGAATTAGCACACTTGGCTGAAATGCAGATTTAAAAGCAAACACACATTTAAGGCAATAACATGACACAACATGCTGTTTCCTCTAAACTGAGCATCAGAAATTATGTTTGCTTTTGGGTACGTAACCACCAGGGACCTTCCCCTCCCATGTACTATAAAACAGGAGCATAAAAAGCCACCCCTCTACATATCTAGAGGGAAGCTGAGATATTTTCCATAAAAACAAACCAACAAACCAAAAACAAAAGCAGCTCTGTGGTAGATTACTTTCAGGACTACTTTTTCACAGCAAAATGTCTCATTTTACACCAGAAAAAGCAAAATGCTGTTACATTCTTTCCTTTCCCTTCAGGCAGCCACTGGGTGATGCCTTTCCCCAATTTTGTCCTGTCTACAGAGAGCTGCTGAAGTCAACCCAATCCACATCAAACTGGTAAGACCTGCAGAGGGTACCAAGCCCACGCCAGGTCAGTTTGCTCTCTGAGATGGCACTGATGACCTCTGGAGGAGCTGTTATCCATCCACACCCCAGGTTCAGTGTGTCCCTGACTGTGGATCATCCGTGGCCCAAGCCAGCAGAGCATTTCTTACGTCAGAGCAGAGCTCATGGGCCCAGGAAGGTTTCCAGCTTCCCAGGCTAGCTGGTCTGCATCATTCTAAGACACATCCCAAGAATGCCCCACAGCTACCAGTACCCTTGTCAGGGTCCAGAAAGAGACCTGCACCTTTCTGACCAGACCCTACAGACAAAGCCACCTTCTCATCCCCCAGAAGGTAGATGGATGCCAAGTTAACTCAAGCTCACAGCGAGCTGGCAAAGTAACCATGTGGCAAAACTCACCCTGTCACCATCAGACCTGCTCTGGAGATAAGCCGAATTCTTCCAGCTCCCAGCCCTGCCAACTGGCACCCTGCACAGGATGCTCAGCAGGCCAAAAAGCATAAAAATCAAGTTCAAAGAGGGATTAAATAAATTCATAAAACGAAAGCCCATCAAGGGCTTGAGCATGGCTGCGGCTTGGGGAGTCTCAGTACCTGGCTCAGGACTAAGCACAGCACACAGCTCGATGGTGGATTTGGCCTCCCATGAAACAACATGAAGTTTCCATCCATCTTCTCCTGCCTGAGCATGTCAGCCAGCAGACAAGCAGCTGATGTCCCACAGGCAGGGGAGAAGGCAAAGAGTGCCCCTCAGTCCCCCCACACTCAGGCATAGCCAAACACAGCGATCCAGCTCCCAGCACCACGTGGCTATCATTAGCGTAGCGTGAAATGGTCCTAAGCAGCACCATCGCCCACAGCTACTCTCCCAACGAGCTTGGCCAAGTGAGCACCCGCTGTGCTCCTGTGCTGGGTTCCTCACCAAGCTTGATGTCCCCATCCTGGGTGAGGAGCACGTTGCCTGCCTTCAGGTCACGGTGGATGATCTTTTTGCTGTGGAGGTAATGGAGGGCTTCCAACATCTGGCGACAAATGACTTGAATCTGGGGTTCAGTCAGGCCCCGGTCCAGCTCTGCAGGGAGGGAGAGAGCTGTTAAATGGGACAGGGATTCCAGGGATGCTCCACCTGAGCAGCAGGAAGGCATGGACTACCCAGCAGACCATTTAAAAACCCCTGTCCATGTGTTAAAGCAGCAGGAGACCAATGCAAATCAGCTCATTAAGGTAATTTATTCCCTAAGCCAGCACTCAAAATGCTCGCCTGCTTGGAGCTGCTGGTTTATAGCTGTCTCCTGGGGACACACGGCTGATGAGGGGTAGGAGGAGGGGGAGCCAGGCACGCCTGCAAAGGGGTCTGAGCTGCAAGTTCCCTGCCTCTTTGGGAAACAGGTTGATGTTGCAGAGAGGAGGGAGCTGAACTCAGCTGCGGGATCAGACACAGAGGGGAATGCTCAGCAGCTCTGTGTGCAGCCCCTGCTCTCATCCCCCCAGGAGCTACCCCTGCCATGGAGATGCAATGTACTCCCCTGTTCATCAGAAGGGATGTGCCATCTCCCAAAGCAAGGAGCAGTAGAATGCTCCCCAGCATTACCCCTACCCACTGCTCTGAGCTGGTTTTTCAGGTAGCACCAGCTACCAGCACACCAGTTCATACCCCACTGTCTGTCCCTATTTCTGAGGCTTGCGGGAGACATGCAACTACCAGCATGACCTCCCTGCTGAGCTCTGCCCGGCCACCTTCACGATCTGAGACTGCTTTCCAAGGCGGCAGCTCTGCAAACCATTGAATCTCCAGATGGTTAGCATCGTCTGAGCTTCCCTCCCTCCCCCTGCAAGCCCCTCGCAGCGCAGATCCCCCCTCCAGCGCAGCATAGCACGCCAGGACCAGATCAAGCCTTAGACAACTCCAACCACCCAGCACAGCCAGGATAGGGGCTGAGGGATGGACCCCAGCAACCAGGACAGTTCCTCATTCCAAGAGAGGACCTTAACCACGGGGTGGAGGGATGCTGGGTCAGCCACTCTGCTCCTCCTCCTCACTGAGATCTCCCTTGCTCTGGGGGAAGGTGAAGATTTTCACTCTCCCTGGAACATCTGGCAAAAGTGAGGTGCAGCAAGCCACAGGTTTGGTACAAAAGATTTCAAAGGTAAATGTCAGTTGCCGGTGGGGATGTAGACATCTGTCAACTCTGAGTTTACTAATTCCAGAAGCACTCCCGAGCTCTGACCCCAGCTCCTCCTGCCCCTCATTCGAGGGTGATGGGACTACAGCTGGGCCACTGTGATTTTCTAAGCACTCCTTCCCACTCCAGTTCCCATGTCCTCCAGGGACTGACTGCCACAGGCACAGCCCCATGAACATTTTGGGGGGGTTTAGTGTCCCAAGAGACAGGGCATCCCTGTTGAGGTTTTCTGGGGTACAGTATCATTTCCTCCAGCACTTCAGCAAAGGTACTTTTACTTGATTTGGACCCACTTTAAAGAAGATCCCTAATGGAGGCACAAGTTTTAGGGACTGAATCAAAGATTATAAGTTTGGGTCCATACTTTTCCTGGAAATAAAACAAAAGTGAGGCCTTTGGAAATATCAGAGCTGAAAGGGAGTAACCCCTGTAGAGACACAGCTCTGTCCCGGTCACTCAAGGCAAGAGGACGTCAGAGGACCGCGTTCACCTCGTGGAGAGGACATCATCCCCCTGGGGTCCCTACAGCCCTAGTACAGAGGGGCTGTGGCACCAGTGAGGGCATTTTTGGTGAACACCCACACGATCCTAGTCCCAGCAGCTCTATGTGGAAGGGAGGAGTTAAAAATGGGAAGATTCCTGGAATTACTGCAAACTACAGTTTATTTGTACAATCATGCTGCTTTACCAGATGACCAATACCATATAGAGAAGTTAGTGAGGAGATCCTGGGAGATTCATCATGACAGGCACCCAGATTAAACATCTCAGCCCCGTTGCCCTTCCTGGTAAGCTGTGGGAACAGGATCCCAAGCACCCGGTGCCTTCAGCAGATAAATATTTAAAGTCATCTTTCCCCTCCAGCCAGACTCTCCCTTCTCCCCATGCCTTGTGATCTGCTGATCCCAGCAGCTGATTTAAATCATAACAGGACATCAAAGTAGCTCAAGAAATGCCCCAGGGCTGCTACCCCTTCCACTCCAGGTATGAAAATAGGCAAACTCATGGGAGAGAAACGGTAGCTGGAGAGGCTGGGGCACCCACGTCTGCTGCCTATCCAAAGGTTGCCCCTGGAAGTGTGCCAGAAGGCTGGAAATGCCTCGCAGGCATTGCTCTGAGTGCGGGGAAGAGCCCCTGCACGCTGCACTCACCCAGCATGGTGGCATCCACCGCCCCGCCCGGGCAGAACTCGATCATGATCTGGGAAACAAAGAGAAAGGAATTAAAGTCAGGTCCACGTCTCACTGAGCAAAGCCCACCGCGTCGGGAAGAGACAAAAGCTTTGGATTTTGCTTTCCCACATGGCCAAGCTGCCCCTTTGCCGCACACAGGGATGCAGAGGCTTCGGTGCTCCCCAGGACACATCCCCCAGGCATCCCCAGCATGAACCGCCACCCA